AGTGTTCTTTTTTAATATATATTTTTTTAAATTTAATACATATTTTTTGATATCAATTCAACTAATTTATATAGAGATATAATTTTTTTAAATATGAATGTTGTTTTAATTTACTTACACGCGTGAAACAATAATCGAAGTTTGTGTTTTCACATACACCCCATATTTTTATTTTCATAATAGATATTTGGGCTTACAGGAGTTGTCAGAAACCAATATTATTATTTTATTATTCAGAAAGAACTAATGGGTACAGGTCTAAAAATCTTTTATAGACTTATGGTTTATGCCTTATCCATATGACATAATTTTATTTTTCGAGAAAAATATTAAAACAATTATATGTATTACGCGCGTAATATTTTTAGAACATAATATAAAATGCGTGGGATTTGTAAATTATCCTGTATATATACATTGAACTATGTTAAATATTATAAGTTTTCATCTCTCAACTTTGCCAATTAACATTATTGAAATATAATAATCTTAGATTTCGAAATGCTAATGAATTTTTAAAGAACTTAAATTTTCATATTTATCTAGAACTCCACTAAAATTACGACTGTAATACAAAATATTGTTGTTGATATAATTTAAATCTAAAGAATTTATTTATTTAGAAGAATTATTAACTTATCAAAAAAATGTATAGTATTTTATATTAAGTATAACACAGGTCCAAGATTTGTTTATTAACATCATAATATATACATTGATAATAATATTTTTTTATCTTTTCTTATATAGGTTAATAATAAAGAATTATATTTTTAGACCCCAAGTTTAATATAACATCGTTTGTAAATATTTGTTTTCACAAACGTTTTATTTGAGAAATTAATATACGTATTAATCTAAATTGCACAACTGCTTATGAGCGGCTTTGTACATTACCTCCCGTACAAGTTAGTGTTAACTATCATTAATTAATGCATCCAAAATGTACATTTAACTCTGCTAATACCAAACATATTTATACTAGTTATGTGATTGTGAGTATCGAATAAACAATTGGCAAGGTTAAACAATATATGCGTGTATTTGTATGTGTGTGTAACAAAGGAATACAATCAATAAATACTATTTGCTTTACACTTTGATGTGGTTCTTGTATCTGATAATGAATTTTGCAATATGTATTTTTAATTTAAAAACCAATTAGGTACTTATGTTTGTTATCGGATATGCAAAATGGCACACACAAAATAAACTATACTACATAGATTGTTAACATGTAAAGAATATTTATAGCTGTTTTTATTTATAAACTATGGTTTATATTTGATTTAATTATTAATAGTAAAATTATATAGTTAAATTATTGTTAAGCGTTATTTATATGAATAATTTTCGAGTTGATTTTTAGGTCCTAATAATTTATTTCAAGAGTTATTATTCTTGTGTCAGTTCGTAATACATTCAAGTTTGTTGATTTTATTTTAAAAATCAGAGTTTGAAATATATTACCATATTGTTTTACTGAGTAGATCCTCGACTTATTATGTAAATAATTGCAAAAATATGAAAAATTATTAAGTAAGCTAAAAGAAAGCTGAAATGAAGTATAACTAAAATGCAGTTAACGCTCTCAAAAAAAGTTTCACTTACGTCATAATGAAACATTGTGATTTAGTTTTCTTTCATCTAGAGGCTGATATCTCATCAATTTTGGTTACAAGCAGAATTTAAAATAACTTAAATATATACTGCATAGTGAATATGAATGCTTTGACATCTAATAAATAATTAAATATGTATTTGAAATTTAGTTTTAATGAGATTTCAATCGTTGATTTTCTGTCTTTGTCTAATATTTGTGCAACAGTATATGAACCATAAGCATGTTTTATTTCCAGCGTATCGATTAATATAATAAAGTGATAAAAATTCTAAAACAGATTTGAATTTGGCGCCAAGTCTTCTTGAGATTGATTTGAAATATGTCAATTTTTAAATGTAACGTTTTTAGAATTTTGGGGCATAAATTCAAAAGTGTGGAAAAGTTGAACTCATGTAGACTTGACGATAAATTCAAATTTCTTATCACTTAATTATATCAATCGGTACGTTAGAAATAGAATATGTCTATAATCCTGTACTGTGTATGTATTATATAAGGACAGAAAATGACCATTTTCAATTCCCTTAATCAAGAAACAGTTATAACAAAAAAATATCAAGAATTTATTTTCTAAGCTAAAATAATAAATATGTAGGTGTATGTGTATTTGTGTATAACAAGTTGTACCGTCAATTATATGCTCGTAGAAAATGAGAGCATAAGTTAAATACGTTTAAACGTATTTTTTTCATACAGTTAACATATACAACGGCATGTATAAAAAATAAATTTCATAATTATTGATTTCTTCTTTATAATTTTTAAATGTTTACTATCTAGTGGTGCAAATATATTTATATCGAACAAGAAATATTTTATTTTAAAATCAATAAGATACTAAACAAAATATTATACAATACAATAATGATATAAATATATATTTGTTATGTTATAAGTCATGAATGTGATAGTTGTATTCGTAATTTCAAAAAATATTAATAAAGACTAATATGTGTGGTCATAATTGAATCTAAAAAACAGTTGAATCATAAATTTATTTTAATTGAATTGTAATAAAAATTAATGATAGGTTCAACTAAACGAAAAGTCCCATGTTTAAACTAATTAAAGTCCTTACTAAAACTGAGGGTAGTAAAAACTGGAAATTGATAAATTTGAATGTACTAGTGATAAGTATAATATTTAATAAGTTGTTTTGATACAATATAAACTTTAAATAAATAGAATTATGTAATTCATTTACTATAACAAATTACTAATTAGGTAATGTAAACATTTAATTATTTTCATAATAATTTTCTTTTAAAAAAATTTTAATTTAATATTAAACTTGTTATTTTAATATTTGAGTATTTACGATGAACTGCACAAACATAAAAAACAGAAGGAAATAAAAATATTAAAAAATATAGTTCCCTAATCGTCACTATAGTACGTAACAAGTATTATTTAAAACAAAATTATAATATTCTCGATATACTAATACAGGTAATATATACAAAAAAAAAAAAAAAAACTTCCCCCTCAATTTATGATTACATGGCACAACAACTTAATTAAAATATTGCCAGCCCCAAACAATATTGATCGAAGTTATCGCTACTACGCACATGGCGTTTGGCATAATGACGTTTTTTAATTACGATCTATACTAAAAATATATATAACCGTAAATGGGTGTGAAAATTAAATGTATACTACCTATATTTTTATGCTTGAGTCAAAAAAGATAAAAAGTCCATCTCTGATGCATCGCACTGTAAAAACAAAGTTAAAATTTAAAAATAATTAAAACGTAGAACCTGGTTGGCGCTGATATTTTGAACGTGTTTCTAAACTAAGAACATACTTGTAGCCGATGGAAATGGAAAAAGCTTTTAATTATGACACAATGTGAGTAGCTTGAATTCAAATAGAATATAACAGTACGTCAAATCATGTTGCCGTCATTATTGCATCAACTCGTCAACATTTTACGGTAAATGTTTTATAATTATTTGTCAGTATAGACCCTTAGGTTTTTCGCATTTTTCACTTCGTAAACACCGTTTTTATAATATGTTTAATATGTCTTTGATACTTTCCAAGCTCAAGTGGTTCTGAAAATATTCAGAAAATTATAGCACAAAACCCTTTTTTGGAGGGGGCCGGTCATTTGAATTTTGTCATCAGTAATAACAAACACTGGAATAGACCAATATAAGCCGAAACACAAGTGTTTATAAAATGTATCAACAGTATCACATTACAATTTTAGGTCTTGCGGTGACACTCTAACTGTTGTTTTGTACATTTCAAAATTTGTATCCATCATAAGCTTAAAAAGCGATAGCACTATGTTGTAATAATCGCTGTTGTATTTAACTTTAATCTGTGTTACTCATTGGTCATTATTATATTATAATTTTAACATAAGCATTCATCATTAAATTTAAAAAAAAAAACAAATATGATTGGTTTGCACAGTGTATTGTATAAATAGTATAATTGGTAGTGTATTATTAATTCTATTAGAATAAAAATAAACACTTATTAAAAAAAAAAAAAGTTTGTAAGACTCTGGTTTTGTTTTATTCTTTATATTGTGTTCACTTAACCTATAAAATATGGTATATTGTTATTAGAGGTTTAAGTAAATTAAAAATTCTAAATTATACGATTTATACATGAATCAAATATTACAAAATAAAACCTATTAATTAAATTAGCACATATTGTTACAAGGTTATTACATCAAAAATATATTTTAACATTTCGGATATTTCAAATATGCGTTTACTTGAACTCGTTTTACGGAAAAACATTTTTTAAAACCAAAATTAAGTCATGAAAGCAATTTTAAATTCAAAAAAATTCCGATCAAGGCTAAACAGCTTCGTATTAGACCGATAGAAAATAATTAGCTACAATAATATCCGAAAATGATGACGTTATTTCTAGACGCTACAAGTGAAAAGTAATTTTTGTATTAGTGTGCACAGCTTGCGTGGAATTAAAATTTAGTTTTCCATTTCTAATGTCGTCCGGCCAGATTAAGTTAGGTTATGTCGTGTTTGAATATGCGATCTTTGGGCACCATAAGCAATGACTTATCCTTTAAGTGGGATTGGGAGATCGTAATACCATTGTCATTGTATACGTTATATACAACAGGTCACAACCATTAGCTTTCTTATGCGTGTGTTATATCATTATGTAAACCTACAATTAAATCTATAATCACCCACCTTTTCATCACCTCCAACACCACCACCATTTATAACACCAAAAACTCGATAAATTTAAAGTGACGCTTTACAACTGGCTCATAGATGTAAAATCAGGTCGTATTTGACCTTTCAGCGTAGTAATGCATTTTACAGCAGTTCTAACGCGTGGTTATAATTTTTTTAACGTCTTTGCTGTTATCCGGCAGGTACTTCACGATCGTCCGGAATCCCAGGGGCTCGGTGTTCCGGTGTAGCGTGGCCAAGACGTTGGTACTCATCTGGCTAGTGTCATTCGCAGCCATGGTGCCTCTGCTATTGTACCAGAACGTCGAGGAGGTGCACGTCGGACCCATCCGGCTGTACGAAGCGTGCGTCGAGAAATGGCCGTCCCGTGTAGCCCAACAGGCGTTCACCGTCGGCCTGGCGGTCGCCCAGTTCGTATTACCGTTCACCACCATATCGCTGATCCATCTGAAGATATCTTCCTATCTCACTGTGCATCTCAAACACCCGGCTGTCCCGTCCAAAGAGATCAACTGCAGACGAGGTGAGTGTATCACGGTCTAACCCAAAATTTTTTGAACCATTGTCCACAGACGACTTTTTACTGGTCCACTATAACTGCGATAAATAATTCAAAAGCAAACTATTCACGTTGTATATTTTTATGGGTTTTCCAAAACAAAATTATTATTCAAGATTTTTTTTTTTTAAGTATGTACCACTAAAACATGCTACATTACAATTCATATGTTACCTTACAATTGTCTAAACAGCGGATATGTGCTGTAACAATCGTTAACAACTGAATAAACTAATAATTCTTAATATTTCTATATATTATATCATAATATTAAAAAACATGATATATTTTTATATAGCCTCGAATAAAAAAATTTGGAGACCCCTGATTTAACCTAATAGCATATCTATAGTTTTGTAAGTCTGTTGTTAAATCGGCTATATTTGTTATTATACAAAGCGTGTCTTTACAGAGTGAAAACACAAACATTTTAATGTATACAGAAAATATCGCTGTTTTATTTGTAAAAGTTTGTCAAAAACGGAAATAAGTATTATACTAATATTTTTATATATATGCGAAGATATCTGAATGGTATTTGTGAGTACTTTTTGTCACCTCTGAAACATAATTATTATTACTCATCACATTGAAAGTAAAAATGTTGACAATGTAACTTTGAGGTACACTATTAGTTTACGGACGGTTTATGCAGTATACAATTTGTTTTCGGAGTTATCGCACAAAAACAAATATTAATTGTAGTTCTGTTGACCAATTTCTGAATACTCGTCGTGTAAACTATTAAGACTTAAACATTGAGTATTATTGTATGAAATAACATACCTATATTATTTTAAATTAGGCCATATACATTCTTACTAGATAAGGTAAACTTGAATAACATTTACTTTTTTTAACTTCTAAAATAGCCCTAGACAAAAAAAATGAATAGTATAATATTTGTGATATTTGGAAAAAATTAGCTTAACATATCATGTAGTTTATTAATATTATAAGTAAAACATAAAAATATACTCCTAAAATATAAAAGCCGAACACGTTGTTTCTGTTCACATCTGTACTCAGTATGCAATGATTTATTATTGATTTAAAATCTAATATATCCATCACAGTGAAACAAATCGACGCAGTTTTAATAATTTAACATTTATTGGGTTAAATATATAGACCTTCATAAATTCTAAATTCTAAAAAGCTTACTAAAATACTTCTAAATTTTCATTTACTTATTCAAAATATGTCCAATTTTTAACCATTTTATAGTTTTTACGAGAATGTCGAGAACAGATGTGTAATGGCAGTAACCACCATAATAAAACTAACACAGAAATAATAGTCACATCCTCAGTGAGGAATATCATCGTATTAGGTCAAAATTCAAAACATAAACAGCTCTTTTACTCGACCTGGATACGGTCATTAATTTTTAAGACCATACAACATGTACCGTGCACAGACCGAAACCAAATTTAGATTAGGCGACATTTATTTTAATCAATGGACCCGATCAAAAGTTTTCGACTGAAACCAAATTGCAAAAAAATGATTTTTAGTAAACATAATAAGAATAAAGTAAAATAAAACGTAAAAATACAAAAATATTTATGATGACAAATGATGATGATTTTTGCACTATTATCGCTATATTAAATATCATAGCTAGGACCTAAATATAAGTTATTGCATTTTTATCTAAACGATTTCTTATATTGGCGTGTGTCATATAAAAATGACAATACACAAAAAGAATTCTATTTCTTTTTCTTTAGAAAATGCATCAAAACATCATGTTCCCTTGAATAATTTAAAAAAATAAAAATCAGAAAATATATTCAGATACAGAAATACGACTATTATAAAAGTCATTATTCTGTCCAATTTTTCAATACTTTTCTATTAACTTTAACATATGAAATGACTATTAGTGTATATACTCTGTTAAATAAATACTTCTCAATGTTATCAACTATCATAAGTTTCAATAAAATATTTGTAAAATACGTAGTTATTTTGTATTGAATGACATTTAAAACTTATTTAATTATTTCATTAAATACTAAATATTAAAAAGAAAATAAATAACGTATTAAATGATTAAGTATTTTCCTTCGAAAAATAATAGATTGATTATTTCAATTAAATCATCAATAATCAAAATTGATTTATAATTTTGAAAAAACAAAACAAGAATTGTCTTAAAGTCTGAGTGAAGCAAATTATTACATCGGTTTTAAACACAGCGTATATTTTTCTTTATTTGCTTACACGGTTTTTGAATAAAATTAACATTTCAATAGTTTTAAGATAGATAACATTTTGATTTCACCAATCACAAGAAAAAACTATTGTCAGATTATGACAAAAATGTAAAATGTATTATAGTAAGATTGTTTTTGTTAACAAAATAAATTTTTATTATTTTGTCGTTCAATTCAGAAATTAAGAACTCTAAGTATTTAAAACATGTATAAGTTTAATAATTGTAAAACTTGTTTTTGTGGATACAGTATTTTAGTAAAATCCAATTACACAATTACTCTATAAGCTTGCTGGTCAATTGGAATACACAATGATCGTACTTAAGTAATGTCTAACCCAGTATAATACTTTTTTCTTGTTAAAGCAAAATAAAGTTTTTACTTTTATTGCTTTTTCATACCGATACGAAAAATATTTAATATGGGTATGCTATGTTCGTGTGCGTGTGTGAAAAAAAGAGAGAATATAAGTATTCGTTGTTTTACATAATCCCCATCGTTTATAGGGGTTCAAATTTGATCGCAGGGATTAGATTGAATTCTAGGGTGTCATTTGTGGCCACCAATGGCTCGAAGGTCAGAAAGTCAGATAAATATTCACTTTTTTAATATAAATATACGATTTCAAGAAAGAAGGGTTCTCGACCTAAGCTTTTAGTACGCCATTTATATGCTCTAAAGTGCATCTGTGTGCAGGTTTATGAGCATTTAAATATCACTAGCGTATCAGGAAATAAATATAATGGATAATATTCATATTCATAGGTAAACGATAGAGCACATACGACTTAATAAAGACGGTTTCCCGTTCGTTATACCTACATAGAATTAAAAACCTCTGATCAACAGTCGAATTGGGTCGTATTATGAAAATAATATTACATTTTTAATAAAAACGAAAATACAATTGGAACAGTATGACAATATATAGGTAACAATATATTGACAATAGGTGTATATTACAGGCAATTTCTTACAGAAGCCGTGTGTTTAAAATGTGAGGACGTATACTCGATGAATGTGTAGTCGAAATTAATAGAGAAAGTCTTTGAGAGAATCAACCTAAAGTATATGCTTGTAAAGAAGCAAAACGATTAACATCCGATGTAACTCTGTGACATACTACACCCAGGATTAAAGATGTACCTAATACCTACTCGTACACCAGAGGCGTCATATTAAGTAATACGATCGGTCGATCGGTGCCCTCCATAAACGGTGTAACATATAGGCAACCCATAGCATTTTGAGTAGATATTTGATTTGTCCTCATCTTCCTCATTTCTCTTTCTTTCTCTCTTTATATACTTCATTACAGTTACTAAAGTAAACGCAAGCTGTTTCAAATCTATACGCATAACTAAATGCAGTTGTCAAAGTTTTAGTCCTTTTTTTTGACCCATCGCTAAACCTTCTCTCTCTCGTTCTATCTTTTTTCCATTATCAAAAACGACTAACAAAAACTGAAAATTGGATTTATCCGTACCACGGTAACAGGTTCAGTACATTGTTATCTATACAGGTTGAAGAAACGTACAATAAAAATATATATTTCCTTTGCTTTTATTGATATTACCATTTTAAAGTGAATTATACTAGCTATTTAAAATATTATAACTCTTAAATGATTATAACTCACTTTGAAACTGTAATATTAATTAAAACCTATGAGATTGCCAAAACAATATTCTTACATTTAAGTTTGATGATAAGTAAACTTATTCTACCATTAAAGCTAACAACATAAAATGGATTCTGTTAAACGCAAACTTGCCATGTTATATGCACGCAGAGACATCTCTAGCAAGCAGATATGGCGTCCTCGTATATCATAAATATTATTATGGCTCTCGAATATCATACCGGAATCGAGTAGGTATAGTAATACTTCAACAACAGAGACACGACATATTCATATTTATAATAGTATGCAGTGTGCATATATTTTGACACACGAGATCTAACGAGAATCCGGCCATATAATCATATACGCATCGATGGTAATATCGATTCATATTGTTTTCCATCTAGTTGACTTTGGGACCGAACAATGTGCGTTGATGCGTGCACGCGTATACACCGAATTTAATAATATATTATATTGTCCGCAAACCACCAAACAAAAGATAGAACGGTCAGACAGACCCGAATATTTACGATATGCATTGCCATACACACACGATCGATCGGTTAAACTGACGAAATCCTTATCTACTAGTTGATACTTTCCCACCACAGACCACCAAAGTTTCGATGAATGCTCAAAACCACGGTTTTGAAACACAAGTGAATTTAAAATTATTTAATTATGATATGCACAATATTTCCATACAAAGTGATTATTTTGTTAAACATCATTAATTATTTCAAAATCTATTAATATTTTTTAAAATAATTTTTTCACATAAATTCCGGTCAAAATAAAACAATATTTTTTTAATATTTGCTATGGTTCTATTGTTTTTATTGTTTTTACTTTATTGAATTACAACATACAATTTTTATTTTTATTTTGAAGCTGAAAATCTTTGGAAATATTTTGACACAGAAATATTGAAATTCGGACGAGTATTTTATGAGTCATTACTTATTAGTATTTAAATTATACGTGAGCGGAATGGAGAGATACGGTAGTATCCTGCAAAATGTTGATCTACTACTCTGCTTACCTAAACTATAAATACTTATAACTCATAAACTACTCGTCCGAATTTCGATTTATATGTATCGGAATACTTTCAA